AAAAAAAAAAAAAGAAAGGAATTCATAAAAGTAGAAACCAATGAATTAGTAAAATAGTGGAATCAATCAAGAGCTACTTCTTTGAAAATACAAATAGCATAGAAAATAAAACTATATGCTCCAGTACTACACAAGATGTTTCCAGGTTTTAAACTACAGTTTTGTAATTTCCTTAAACAATGGCAAAGAACTTGTGGAAGAGTTCTGAGAACACTATATTATTTCTAAACAGCAGGTTCCAAGTAAAAAATATTCCTAGCCCCCAGCATCAAATACTATTACCCACCCACCCTGTCATAAGGTAGGTAAAAATCTATTATTAACTGCTACATTAAAAAGTCCTTTCCAAAGAGTTTTGAGTATGAGCCTTGGCCCTGACTCAAATCCACTATTGACTTAGAAATGAAGAGTCCAGACACTGCTTCTAACCCTGTGGGGAAGATGCCTACCTTCTGGTGCCTAATGACATCTTGGTCAGATTCCACTTGTTTCCAAATGTTTTCATTTGTTAAAACGTAGTCCAGTCCAATTGAAAGCATCAATTTCATCTATAGTTTAAGGTTTTCTGTTTCCCCAAAGCATGCTGTACTGTGGCTCCAAGCACCTGAAACAGGGAAGGGACATGATCTGTTCTTTTTTTTTTTTTTTATGTTATGTTAGTCACCATACAGGACATCATTAGTTTTTGATGTACTGTTCCATGATTCATTGTTTGCGTATAACATCCAGTGCTCCATGCAATACGTGTCCTCCTTAATACCCATCACCGGGCTAACCCCATTCCCCCACCCCCCTCCCCTCTAAAACCCTCAGTTTGTTTCTCAGAGTCCATAGTCTTTCATGGTTCATCTCCCCCTCTGATTTCCCCCCCTTCGTTTTTCCCTTCCTTCTCCTAATGTCCTTCATGCTATTCCTTATGTTCCACAAATAAGTGAAACCGTATGATAATTGACTTTCTCTGCTTGACTTATTTCACTCAGCATAATCTCCTCCAGTCCCATCCATGTTGATGTAAAAGTTGGGTATTCATCCCTTCTGATGGCTGAGTAATATTCCATTGTATATATGGACCACATCTTCTTTATCCATTCATCTGTTGAAGGGCATCTTGGCTCTTTCCACAGTTTGGCTATTGGGACATTGCTGCTATGAACATTGGGGTGCATATGGCCCTTCTTTTCACTACATCTGTGTCTTTGGGGTAAATACCCATCAGCCACAGCAACTTCTTTCAAGATACATCTCCATAGGCTAGTGAAACAAAAGCAAAAACTAACTTTTGGGACTTCATCAAGATAAAAAGCTTCTGCATAGCAAAGGAAACAGTTAACAAAACAAAGAGGCAACCCATAGAATGGGAGAAGATATTTGCAAATGACACTACAGACAAAGGCCTGATATCCAACATCTATAAAGAACTCAAACTTAACACCCAAAAAACAAATAATCAAGTCAAAAAATGGGCAGAAGACATGAACAGACATTTCCCCAAAGAAGACATACAAATGGCTAACAGACACATGAGAAAATGTTCATCATCATTAGCCATCAGGGAAATTCAAATCAAAACCACATTGAGATACCACCTTACCCCAGTTAGAATGGCAAAAATTGAAAAGGCAAGAAACAACAAGGTTGGAGAGGTTGTGGAGAAAGGGGAACCCTCTCACACTGTTGGTGGGGATGCAAGTTGGTACAGCCACTTTGGAAAACAGTGTGGAGGTTCCTCAAAAAATTAAAAATAGAGCTACCCTATGACCCAGCAATTGCACTACTGGATATTTACCCCAAAGACACAGATGGTCTATTCTTTACACAACTCCTCTCTGCCCTTTTAAACCCTCTCTCTCCTCCAGGGCTGAGGCAAGAAAGGAGCACCAGGGGGAAACCAGAGAATGTCTCTTTACCTGATCGGAAGAGGTTTCTATTCTTTCCTGTAGTTATAACTCCTCTTACCCCCCATGCCCTCAGAAAACAAACATCCAAATGCTAACCAAGGCCTCCTCTCTCCATCATGGCTCCCTGCTGTGGGAGATCAAGCTCTGCCTCAAATCTGTCACAAACCCCTCTCCTTACCTCCAAACATCAGCAACCCACCCTACAGCCTCTGCTGCTGGGGTTCTGGAAGGTTAGCTTGCAACCTCTTGGGTGACTAAAAGCCAGCAAATGGCTCAAGTACCCTATGCAAGGTCTAGATGACCCACAGGTACCTCACTAGCCTGCCATGCTGCTGCAGCCACTCCCCCACCCCACCTGGCCCTGCCATGTCTTTCTAATTCTCTTCTCCTCTACTCAGCTAAGAACATAAGCAGATTATCAGTTCCGCTGCTTGAGCAGATGTTCAAATAGGGAATGAAAGGCTAGCCTCCTCCACTCACAGATACCTCCTAATCTGTAAGAAAGAGTGTCTTATCAATGTTCCTACTCCTGGGCTTCTAGAAGATGATAAACCTCTTACCACAAATACTGCATTCTCCAAAGGACCCGAATCTTAAATGACTCACTCCCTCTCCCAGTCCTCTTCTTATACAGGCTAAAACAGGACAATGAGGTGGTGGTTGGTAATTGTGCCAGTTACGCCATATCTTAGGACACCCTACTCAGAGGTGGCCCTTGTTCTAATGTTCTCCATTTTGTGCTTTAGCCAAATTTCTAAACCAAGGGGAAAAGTCCAATTCAACATCTTGTTACAAATACATAATCGTTTCTCCATAAGTCCTGCATCATCTCCCTAAACAGTGGAGTTCACTCTTTGATTCTCTCCCTAAATCCAAGGCTCACTGAACCTTAAGCAAAGAAATAGACCTAAGATCCAGCTTCCCTGTTTCCCCAGAATTTTAAGTCTTACTAAACCTGTCTATGGTCAACCTTCATAGTCGCTGCACTCCTTGCCTTATGGTAGTGTCCCTGAGAAAGAAGAGAGGGGTGCACTACAAATTCTTGCTAAAATGGGTTCTTTAACCAGAAATGGTCCCATCTTCCTGTCCCATCCCATGGTTACCACCACACTAGCCATGCTGTTGGGTCAGATAGGCCAGGTTCCATCCAGCAAGGGATCTAAACTTCCTGGGATTAGGGGTTAAAAATAACTCAATGAGTACATAGGGTCTGGGAAGGAAACCAGACCCTGCCAGGTGGTCTGAATACACCAAACCAAGCTCTCCGGTTCCCTAAGGGGGCTTCCCATGTCCCTGAGGTTTTCTTGTCAGTGAAGTCCTGTCACTCCTTGTCCCCATTACCTCAGTCCTTCTACCTGCAAGTCACCCCCAGGGAAAATAAAGCACCTCACAGAATGGTATACTGAGGAAAGCCGATAATCCAGACCCCTCAAAAGAAATGTTCACAGAAGGATGCTGACTGCCTCTTACAAAAAAAAGAAATGACCCCCAAGCAGAGTTAAACCAAAGCCCCAGAGAGCCTGCTGCTTAGAGAATCAGCTACTGGGAAAGAATGGCAGCTTGGCATTATCCACCGTGATTTTACCTCAAGAATCTGAAATGCTTTACTTGGAACTGAATCACCTGCATTGCAAAGGTCCAACTCGGGTGCACTATTATTTAATTTCTTTTATGGCTTTCTCCCTAGCCTCACAAAAGAAAATCATGTGTGATTACAGAGTGAATGCTGGTATAGGGCTTAGGAAAAGAACGGGTTGTTTGATTACTATTATCTATTCTTCTCAGGACATAAGGGTACAGCAAATACTGGCAGTTAAAGATTTCTAGTAAGTGAGTTTACTTATCTTTTGGTTTTTTGTAAGCCTCCTCTACAGATAAGGTAGCAAAGGGAGAGAAGTTGGAGAAAAGTTTAAAAGAATCTGTGGGAGCTGATATTCGCTATACAATGTTAATGTTTACCTACTCCAAAAGATACCAAATGCTATAATTTATAACACTAGAGTATTTCTGTGATTTCCAAATGTTCTGCTTGGTTGAATGGTGGCCCCCAAAAGATATGTCCACATCCTAACATGTAGATTTTTTTTTTTAATATGACATTATTTGGAAAAGGGGTCTTTGCAGGTGTAATTAGGTTAAGGATCTTTAGATGAGGTCATCCCAATTACCCAGGTGGGCCCTAAATCCAATGACAAGTGTCGTTATAAGAGAGAGAAAAGGGGAATACACAGACACCCAAAGACAAAGAGGAGAAGGCCATGTAAAGATGGAAGCAGAGATTGCAATAATGTGGCCACAAGCCCAAGAATACCTGGAGCCACCAGAAGTTGGAAGAGGTACAGAAGGATTCTCCCAAAGAGCCTCTGGAGTGAGTACAACATGATTTTAGAACTTTGGACTCCAGAACTGTGAGAAAATAAATTTCTGCTGTTTCAAGCCACCAAGTTTGTGGCAATTTGTTATATCAGCCAAAGGAAACTAATACACCCAATATGACATCGCATTATATTTAGCTCTGGCATAATGCTAGAGTCTACTTATGAAACTTTAGCAAAGCAGTGGAACAAAAATCCTGAGGGTAACCACGCAAAAAGAGAAGGAAGATAGCTTCATTTTGCCTCTGTCATCAATCCCACTGCTTGGTGCCAAGAGGGAACTTCCCAGCTAGAAAGAGTTCCCCTCACCAGGAAAGAGTAGGGTGAATCATTAGCTTCTCCATCATTTGGAGGCACTACACAAAGATCTCACTTGGGTTTCACTCCACCCAGGGGGGCAAAGCTGAGACAAATAGAGAAGATTAGGAACAAGGGGGGGAAAGCAGAGACTATCAAGAGCAGCCACACAGTGGGAATGACCACGTTCACAGTGACCTGCTCTACCAACACCCCCAGCATATTTCACCAGCTTTTGCTCCACAGGTATTCATGTTTGCTGATGCCAGTAGCTGCCTCAGTCCTTCTCCCTCACTATCCCCCCAACCCCCCGTACCCAAGACTCTGTGTCTACACGAGTACAAGACTCCAGCCTAGACCCCTGCAGCTGACTCCTACTGCCATGTGCACACTCAGAGCTGGCTCCTCTAGCTACACACCCACACCTCCCTGGCCCAACCCCCAACACCAACCTCCCACAGTGTGCATGTCCAGAGGGAGACTGCAGCCACAGGACAGCACATCAACAGTCAGGGCCCCCACAGGCTATGAGTGAGCCCATAGCTGGCCTTGGCCCTTGCTGCCTGCCCTAGCCCCACCAAAACATGTCTGTCTGCATCTGGCCTCTGCCACTACATAGGCACCTAGAGGTGGCCCCTGCAACTGAGTGTGTGCACACCACTGGCTCCAGACATTACCACTGGTCCCTTGCTGCTGGAACTGGAGATGCTGCTGCAATCCCCAGCAGCCCCTGCAGCCACTGCAGCACTGTCCCCATCCCTACCATGGCCACCAAGGACCACACAGTTGTTTATGTTGCAGATCCCAGTGGCCTGAGCCAAAGGATAACACACTCCTCCAGATCCGGTGCCATCACATGACCCTGCACTTGACACTCTGCACCAGTAGACCCAAGTCACAGCATGCTTCAGCATGTCCCCACCACAGGTGAAAGTCTACCCTTACAGAAGTTAGTTCTTAAAGTCTGAAGAGGTGACTGCTTCTTCAAAGGTACACTTACACAAAGTTACAAGGATCATCATGAATCAAGGAAA